GCTCCACCGGCGCCGACTTCTCCGGTGAAGCCTGCCCCCGAAACTGAAGCTGAAGTTCTGCCTAGTGGGGATGCAAATGTAGAGGTAAAATCAGAAACGGAGGCGCCCGCGGTCGTTATTAATGGCGATCCTCAAGAAGAGCAGAAGGTTCGCACCCTTTCACAGTTTACTTTTGATGATTTAGTCTGTTGCAGAGCAGAAAGAAGAACCGGAACCGGTTGCCGTCAAACGGTCCAGGTCTCGGTCTCCAAGGCGGTCACCTTCACGTGAACGTGAAAGGGAAAAGGAAAAACACCGATCTCCTCCGAGACATTCCCGAAACCAAAGTCTTTCTATCGATGATGAAGCAGACGGCTGGGAACTAAAGGAGGACGTCTTCTTAGACGGTTATAATTGTGATCTCAGTCTGTTGGTTGACAAATCTGGCTACTCTGCTAAGCCGATAACCACTGGTGGTTTTTCTCTGATGTGGGCTGGAGTACGTGCAAATTATGGCATCAGAAAGGGGAAAGTGTTCTTCGAGGCGCGTCTGCTCAAACAAATCGCAGTCGAAAATTTGGATTCACTATCTGGCGGTGCAACCCATGTACTGCGGGTCGGATGGTCTGCTGAGTCGACGGGCTTTGCCCTTGGTGAGGAACCACTCTCTTTTGGTTACGGAGGGACTGGGAAAAAGTCGTGTGATAATAAGTTCACCGATTATGGCTGTAAATTTGGTGAAGGTGATACTATTGGAAGCTTTCTCGTAAGTTAATTTTATTTTAAAGCATGTTTCCCAGGAAATAACTGATTCTGAGGCAGTTATGAACTTTGCTGTGAACGGAGTTAACCAAGGCGAATGTTTCCGGGTGCCACTTTCATCGCTCGGTAGCGAGCCGGTGCTTTTTCCCCACATTTACGTGAAAAATGTCGAATTTTCCGTGAACTTCGGTCAAAATGATATGCCGGCTTGGTTTGCACCACCCTTCGAAGGTAAATTTTAATTCACTCAAATTACTGTTAGATCCGGCTTCGTGGAAAATCATGAACGAGACCGCCACCGCGGACCGCGTTCACGGGCGCATGCCACCAGCCTCAAAATC